TTTCCTCTAAGCCTAGCTTAGCTTCAGCTCACAAGATTTACACCATACTTACATAGTTAATTTCAAATATTTTCTAATTTCTACCTGACTTATTCTTCACATCTTCAGACCTTGAGTTATTTAGAATTCTTTCTTAATTTCCAGAGAAACTAAATCTTTAATTCTCTCTTGCCTTCATTTCCAGCTCAATGGCACAGTAGTTCTCAGTCCTTTAGCACTTGTGGAGATTCTGCAGCTAAACACAATGTCAGTCGTCATATCTCTGGGGATTTAGAGAGAGTCTGTGTGGCAGGGGCACAGTGCAGCATTCTACACACATAGCTCAGGCTTGCTCATCGGGGGGCCACAGCTGGCTTCACTGGATATTATTTCTGTGTTCTTTTTTTGTTTTTCTGGTGGGACTGGGGTTTGAACTCAGGGCTTTGCACTTGCACAAATCAGGCACTCTACTGCTTGAGCCACACTTCCAGTCCATTTTGCTCTGGGTATTTGTAGATGAGGTCTGATGAACTATTTGCCCAGACTAACCTCCAACTGCCATCCTCCCAATCTCAGCCTCCCAAGTAGCTAGGATTACAGGCGTGGGCCACTGACACCCAGCTGTTTTAACTGGTCTTTTTGTCTGCCCACCCTATCAATTACTGACTTGTGTCTGGAACTTTCCACCATAATTAAGAATTTGACTGCTTTTCCTTTAATTCTGCCACTTTTGCTTCATATTTTGAAGCATAATCTTAGAATTGCTATGACTTTCTGTTGACTCAAAACTTGCACGGGTTTTCAGCGTCCCTTTATCATGGGTAGAGTGGCATCTGCTGACGTGCATGTGCTCTGCCCACTGCCGGTGTGCACGCTTTCATGGCCTTCCCTCTGTTCCTCCAGACTTTTTGGGGTTTTATGGCTTATCTATTCTACTGCCAGTGCACTATGGTTATGTATGGGTCTTTGGTTGGCTTATCGTTACTGTTGGTCTTTTAACGAGACTGTTAGCCACGTGTTTAGTGGATGTGTCCTCGTTGGGGTTGGCTGTCATCTGTTGGGTCCGTTTTGCTCCTGGGCTAGCTTTCTAGTCCTGCCTTCCCAGTTCTAATGGAATGTCTCTCATTCCTTGCCTGTTTTGAATCAGTGCTCTTCTGTCTTTCTGACTGTCAGCTCTGTTAGTTTGGTGATCACACAGTCTTGTGTTCCTTCAGTGTTTGCTATAGATTACATCAGCATTGAGCTGTCACCCGAGAGAAATCTGCACCTTCATTTTTTTAAGACACACAGGGACCTCAGAGCACTTCCATTCTGTTTGCCTCCACTCCACCTCACTACTTTTTTTATTATGTATTTTGGGTCTGTGTATACTTTCTCCCACACCGCTATTTTGTTATACTGTCAGTGTTACACTGTCAGTTTCCATCTGGAATCATGTCCTCCTACTTAGATACACCCTTCCTTATTTCTGCTAGTGGAAATTGGCTGATGACAAATTCAGTCTGTTTTGTTTATTTGAAACTGTTGTTCTTTTTTCCCCCTCTTTGGCAGTGCTGGGTTTGAACGCTGTGCCTTAAACTTGCTGGGCAAACTCTTTACCATTTGAGCCATGCCTCCCGCCCTTTTTTGCTTTAGGTTATTTTTCAGATAGGGTCTACTGCTTTTTTGCCTGAGCTGGCCTCAGACTGTGATCCTCCACCCTGTATGTACCTCCTGCATAGCTGGGATGACAGGCACATGTCACCACGCCTTGATTTTTGTTGAGATAGGGTCTTGCTATCTTTTTTTACCTAGACTGGCCTCAAACTCTCAATCCTCCTGCCTTAGCCTCCTGAGTGCTGGGACTACAGGTATGTACACTGCACCTAACTCTTACCTTTGTAATTGAAGGATATTTTTTTCCGGGTATGACTCTGGAGTTGACCAGATCCACTTTGAGAATCCATTCCTCAAAGTTGTCTCTCAGTTCCCATTGCTTCTGTTGGGAAGTCAGTCAATCCACACATTGCCCATTGGAGAAATCTATGTCTCCAGCCAAGTTTAAGATCACACACACACACACACATCCCCACATGCTGGGTTTTGGTGGTTTTACTACCATGTACTCAGGCATGCTTTTCTTCTGGTTTTTTAAGTTCGGGGTGATAGGCAACCTCAGGCATTGCTGTGCATGCATACACAATCCCTGTCTCTCACATGTCCTGTACCACCTCAGGCCTTCTGGCAGCAAGAAGGCCACCAAGAGACATGGCCTCTTGACCACGGACCCCCTGAACTATGAACCAAAACAAACCTCTTTCCTTTAAAACTTACCCAGTCTGTGGCATGGTGTTAGTAGCAACAGAAAACAGACTAATGCGGGTCCCCACCTTCCCTGAGCCAGGCACCCTCCCAAGGCCCTTCCTCCCTGGCTATGGGGTCACAGTTGGGACCCTCTCCCAGGGTTCTTAGCAACTGCTGAGGCCATAAGGAGCTAGGACCTCAGGAGCTGTGGACCTCACCTGAGGAGGTCACAACTGCTGGGATGGGTTACCTTTCCTGAGACCTGACCCCAAGGTGGCTTCTGTGGGTGCTCTGCCAAGGATAGTCCCAGGGTAACAAGGGGCTTTGCAACAGTAACCTAGTAACACCTGATAGTCTTAAGATGGACTTCAGCCCAAGTCCACCTGACACAGCTCCCTTCACTGCCAAGCAGCAATAGATAGGGCCAGGACCCCACTGGCCAGAGAGCACAGTGGTTTTGCTGGGTGGAATATCTAGCAGTGCTGAAGCTGTCTGGAGGTCCATGTGGAGGGACAGACAGATTTGAAGGAAGAACAGCAAAACAAGTTCTCAGGGCTGCTGCAAGAAAGGGCCACGACCAGGCATGCCCACAATAGAAGTGCATTCCCTCACAGCACTGGAGGCCAATTGTGAGACCAAGTGTCAGCAGGGCCAGGCTCCATCTGAGGCTCTGGGGAGGACATTTTCTGCCTCTTTCTGTTCCTGGGGGCTCCAGGTGTCACCTGGCTTGTGGCTGCATCACTCAGACTTCTGTTCCTGTCCTCATGTATCTTCTCCCCACCCTGATCCAGTCTGGCCTTATCTCACCTAGACTACATCTGTGAAGATTTATTTCCAAAGAAGGCCACAGAGCGAGGTTCCAGGTAGACACGAGTTCTGGAGACACTACTCACCCCAGTGTGGAAGTGAATGAAGATGGAGCAATAAGTACCTTGAATTATGTGGCCCCCAGAGCCACAGAGAATCACATGGATTCTTTGGCTTAGATTTGAAAGTAGGAAAGTGGACTGCTATGGCCTGAATGTCTGTGTATCTAAAATTCCTATCTTGAAATCCTCCCCCAAGGTGATGACATTAGGAAGCAGAGCCTTTGGGAAGTGACTAGGTCACAAATGTTGATCCATGAATAGGAATAAGTGCCATATAAGAGACCCCAGATAGACCCCATGCCTCTTCCACTATCTCCAAACAGGATATTAAATCTGCCCTCATGATCTCAGATGTTGACCTTGGCCTTACAGCCTCCAGAACTCCGAGAAAGACATGTCCAGGGTTTATGAGCTGCCCAGTTTATGGCGTTCCACTGCAGCACCCTGGATGGATTCAGACATGGACTCAGGATTGAGCACTGCCCACAAGGCCCAGCAGACACATCTCTAAGGGGCCTGGGTGATGGCGGGCATAGCTTAGGGCTCTGAGGGGCCCCAAACCAGGTTCTGCATTCTGCCCCTGCCCAGAACTGGATGGTGACCGTTCCTGAAGGACGGTGTCTGAGGACCAAGGGGGCAACAGAGGAGGTCCTTTCTGCTCCCAAGGGACCACCTGCAGCTGAGAGGCCTCTTGGATACACCATGCAATTGGGGGCTATCAGAAGGTCCCTACCTAGGGAGTGACCAAGTCCAGAGACACCCCAAAGGACCTGGTCACACAGGGTCATAACTAGAAGGTCAAATGGCTAGGATTAGTGGAGAACTGTTGTAAGTGTGTGTGAGAACCGCCTCCACAGAGCCGACCATCACGGTGTGACCAACAAGGTGCACTGTGCTAAGTAAGTCTGAGAAGTTAGAGAGAAGCAGCTGAATGCCAATCACAGCTGTGGGAGAGAGGGCTTTGGGGGTCATTTTTGTTCTTTCTTTATAGAGAAATTTTCTCCAATGACCATATACATATTACTTCTATAATCAGAAGTTAGGGGTTTAAATGGAGAAGAAATACAAAAGGGGCTTCCCCAAGGGAACGAGAGCCCTCTCCAGGGTGGGTCAGGGGAGCAAGGTACACAGGGCTTGTTCTGGGAGGTGACCCCTTCTCGCATCCATCTCTGCCTCCACCTGCTGGGAAAGGGCAGGCAAGAGGGTGAGGCAGGACCCTTTCAGGGTGCCAGCCCCCCACCTGCTCCTCCAGCCAGAAGTTCAGAATCCAAGCAGACCTCACATGTTAGCAAATCTCAGACAGACTGGGGTTGGCATAAAGCAGGCAGTGGACAGAGGAGGTCACTGTGTGCTCTCCTCTTGCTGCCCCCACCTCTGCCAGCTGCCCCCGGGCATTTGGGAGTAGAGTGTGGCGAAGGTGGGGAGTTTGGGGGCAGGGGGCAGTGAAGCGGGCTAGGGTACCAGGATTCTCCCCAGGGCTTTGACACGGGAAGAAGTGGGCACAACACAACCCCTTTATTTCTTGCTCATACTCCAGAAAGTAGCCAGTGGTCCAGTGTTAGGAGTAACCCTGCCACAGCCCAGGAAGTACACGGGCTCTAAAGTCCACCACCCAGCCCTCAGCTGTGGCAGCCCCTTTGTCAGCGGGTTCAGGCCCATCCTACATCCCCTCTATAAACTCTGCATGCCCTTCGTAAAGAGCAGCGCTGGCACTGCCCTCTACAGTGCAGCCCAGTCCTCCCTACCCACCCTCCACTACCCAATGAGGAAGCAGTACTGAGCTCTGTCCATCCTGGGTCACCACTGCCTTCCCTGACCACCTACGTGTATTGCAACCTCTCCTCCCTGGGCGCCCGGACAGGAGGGCCATCAGGAGGGCCGGCAGCGCCCCCAGGGCTTGTCCCTGTGACTGGGCAGCTCGGAGCCTGTGGGCACGTTCTCCAGGACATCACGCAGGGAGAACATGCAGAAGGAGATGTCATCATAGGCGGCCCTAGCCCCGCTCTCAAACAGACAGGCAAAGGCCAGGGTTGCCCCGGACACAGGCCCAAGGGACGCCAGGTCGGAATAGCCGCTGGGGCCCTCATAGATCACCCAAGGATCTGTCCAACTGTGCGGGTCCAGGGGGGACCGGCTCAGGTAGATTCCCATGTCTAGCCGAGCTCTGCGCCCCGCTGGGTGGGAATACAGCAGCCACGTGGAGCTCTGAGGTAGGGCGGCACAGCGCATGGGGAGCACTGGGACCAAGGCTCTCCTGTCCTCACCTAGCCCAGGCTCCCAGCCAGGCTGCTCTGAGCCATCCCCCCAGGGCTGTGGGTGGCAGAAGGGCCCTCTAGGCACCCAACCCCCGCAAGTGCCCCCAACACCCTCCCCTGGGAATTCCTGAACTCCAGGACAGAGGAGCGGAGGGCAAGGGGTGTTCCTGGTGCCCAATGACCATCCCTTATCCTGAGGCCTGCTGGGGACTGGGGCTGGGAAGCCCACAATGCTGCCCTGGCAGCCCCGGGCAGTCTCGGCCAGGGAGGGCACAAGCTCCCCAGGCAAGAAGGAGGTGCCCCCATCGGTGCTGAGAGCCTGTACACGGTTGCCCAGGGGGCTCCGGGCATTGCAGTAGAGGAAGCCACCATCCACCGCAGCCAGCTGGCACTCACCCGAGCGCAGGTTGGGCACAAGGCCTCCACAGTGCCAGGTGTGGCCATGGTCATCACTGTAGAAGGTGAAGGAGTGTGGGCTGGTCCAGCAAATCTTGCCAAAACACTCCCGACGGTCCACACGGTAGGTATAAGCTGGCACCAACAGGCGACCTGAGCGCAGCTGGACCCCATGGCCTGGACCCACTGCAAAGGTGGCCCAGTCTGCAGAGAGTAGGTGCTACTGAATACCCCAGGAAGAGAGATGCCAGGCTGACCCAATGCAGGGATCTGGAGGGAGGTCTGTGCCTTGGGTTAGGGTACCTTGCCAGCTGAACACCCCTCCACATTCAAGCCTGAGTCCTCCCAGGCTGGACACACCTCGCAGGACTGTTCACAGCAGCCCAGGAGCCCACTTGGTCAGGAGCTTTGCTTTGTTCTGTTGGGTGCTGGGGTGGAACCCAGGGCCTCACACATGCTTGGCAAGTGCTCTACCACTGAGCAACACCCCAGCCCTTGGCCAGGTTCTTGGCGTATAAGGAGACAGTCGGCTCCAAGCCCAGGTTGATGGTTACCATTTGTGCTCAGAGAGGGAAGGTTGGGGTATGTGAGGACCTTGGGGTGGGGTCTTTGAATCAACCTTGTGCCCTGTCCATCTCTCAGAACCTGTCATGTCCCTCAGGGCAGTGACCATGTGCTAAGTCAGGTAGCTTCTGGTGTCAGTGTGCCCATGAGCAGGGGCATGGGGACAATGGAGAATAGCGGGCAATTGGCACCTGGGGGCTGGGACGACAAGGTTGGAGGGAAAGCTTGGGGCCCACAGTCCTTGGTCAGGTCTCTGGGGCTGGGTGAGGAGAAGGCAAAAAGGAAAAGGAAGTGGTGAAGGAGATAGGCCGTTCAGCTGAGGGTGAGACCTGAGCCTTCAGCCCTCTCCTCCACAGACAGACAACCTCAGGAAGAGGAGAGCACCTCAGTCCACTGATGGCACCTGCCCCTGTCACAGGCGGTTGGGGTAGGGTGATCAACAGCCATTTGCCTGGGACTGAGGAGCTTGGAGATGCCAATGTGTGGGGACAGGGATGGGAGGTGGCTTTTGGGCAGGAGGTTGGGATGGGGAAGAATGGAGGAGGTCCCAAGTGGACTGTGGGCCTATGGGAGGGGCCATCCCAGGCCCCGCCCTCCTTTCGGGCCCCGCCCCATGGACTCTCGTCCAGCCCTGGCCCCGCCCCTTCACTCGCGGTGCTTACTCTGCACAGCTGGGCCTATGGCCTCCTCCGTGAGGTCGCGGGCGCTGCCCCAGGTGAGGCCCGCGTCGCGGCTGGTCACGCAGCAGAGCCGAGCCGCATTCCTGCCGGTGGCAATCTGCACGGCCTCGGGCGTGTGACCCAGCACGGCGATGAAGAAGAGGAAGACGGTGCCCGAGCCCGCGTCCAGCACGGGGCAGGGGTTCATGGACCGGTGCTCCTCCAGGGCGGCGGTCCCCAGCACGCGCAGGGCGCCCCACTGCCGGAGGAGAGATGACTCGCTGGCCAGGGCATCTGCACCTGGGCCTGGGCCCAGTCCCGAGGGACGTCCGCAGACCTGGGCCTCAGTTTCCCGTCTGTGCCGCCTCGGCGCCAGGTCACTTACCCGCAGGGAGCCCCCGGCCAGCGTGCCCCTCCTCAGCACCAGGCGATGGGCGTGGGAGTCGTCGGGGCTGAGCCGCTGCTCCGCAAAGGCCAGCAAGGTGGGCCCAGGGGGCACAGGGAGCAACGCCGGCACGCGGTAGGTCAGCCCTGTCCTCTCCCGCTGGAAGAGCACCGTGCGCCCAGGAACACGCGGGGCTCCCATGCCCTGCGGGTCAGAGCGGGTCACAGGCCAGATGAGCCCAGGGAGACCAACACCCACACCCCTCATCTCTCTGGATTGGGGAGGAGGTTCAGCAGGTTCACAGGGCCACACACACACACACACACACACACACACACACACACACACACCCCATGGCCCCTCCGCCCACCCCTAGATGGCCCTGTCTCCACCAACCTGGTCCCAGAGCCCTGGCAGCCCCTCCTCAGCCCCCTTACAGCCACTTCACCCGAATGTCTGTGAACTGGCCCCTTCCTCCTCTCTACACAGCTCTGGAGCTGTCCCTCAGCCCGGCCTGGTTGGTGCAGGGGTGGAAAGGAATCAGGCAGAGAGGCCCCCAGGCCCTGCCAGCCTGTGTGCCCAGGACACAGCCATCACAGAACTCACCCAGCAGGAGACTGGCCAAGTGAACAATCAATGGCCAAAACCCCAGACAAGGAGGGGTTCAGTGTGTACAAATAGGAGACTTAACCCCAGGAAAGCCACAATACACACAGATGAACACAGGAGACACAGGTGCGCACATAAAGATCTAGAACGGAGCCCCAGAGGGTCCCTGCAGAGGAAGGGGCTAAGCTCTGGGCCTCAGGACATCTTCAGCCACAGGGGACCCACCAGCTGGACCCTAGGGCTGCCTGAGGATGGTAGGAAGAGGCGCAGAGAGGAGATGGCAGGGACATCTCAGTTCAGTAAGAGCAAGCTGAGAAGCTAGGGGTATGGAGCAGAGGATGGACAGACGGACAGCATTGCAGGACGGGGAGGGATGTACTGAGCAAAGACTGACAAAGGCCCCTCCCGATGGCTGCCCAACTGCCCCATCTCTTCAACCCTGCTTCCCTCCCCCAGCCCCACTACAGATCAGGCTTCCCTTACCCACAGGCCAGGGGTCCTGCAAAAGACAGGCTCTTTGTGGCTACAGCCCTGCCTGTGGGGAGCTCACCCAGGCTTGTCCTCTCCCCCATCCCGTAGGTCCACAGGAGGGCCTTGCCTGAGGTGCAGTTGAGAACCACTTCCACAGGAAACCAAAGCCACAGGAGTGTGACTACACCTCCAGAGTTTGCAGCCTCCCCAGCAGCCTCACAAGGGCAGGGTCTGGACGGGGTGGGACACGAGCTGGACCTGCCAGGGGGCGTCTGTATAGTTTGCATGAAGGCAGACCAAGGGGTAGGTGAATGTGTATGGCCAGGAGTGACAGCCAGATAAGGTGGGGGCTGAGGAGGACAAAACCTTCCCTACAAGACTTAAGCAGTTAGAACCCAATGCCAGCCACCCAGGCCAGGCCAAGTCCAGTCCCCACAGAAGGCCAGAGTGCTAAGAAAGGGGAGAGAGAGAGAGAGAGAGAGAGAGAGAGAGAGAGAGAGAGAGCAGGATTCTGGCAACACACCTGGTGAGAACCAAAGCCTCTGCCTACGGTAGGGACCCGGTGCACCTTTACTGATGGGACCATAAACTAGAGAAGGGGTAGAGGACAGACACTCACGTAAAGCAAGAGCAGGCCTGGCAGATGCAGATACACAAAGGGCTGTGCTTGCCACTTCCAGCCGCACGCCTGAGGTTGTCCACCTCCACCCACCACAGCTCAGGCTGACCGACTGTCCCTCTGCTCACCCACCACCAGCTCTGGGGCTTCTGAGCAGCCTCCTGTCTCCTAGAAGATGCCGGGCTCTACACTCAAAGGGTAATTGTGCCGGGCAGGAAGCAGGTGCAGGGTGGCACGTGTCATTTCAATCTGACTGGGCACAAGGGAGACATTCTGTCCATACTTGGCTCGCTCTCCAAAGCCCAGGACCACCAGAGCTAGCGTTAGCACAGTCTGAAGAAGAGGGGGGTCAGCCTGGGGACAGAGCAGGACAGACAGAGGCTCCAGAGAGCAGCGGGTCACTCTCATTGCAAAGATGGGAAACAGGTCTGCCACACATTAGGGGCTGCCTTTCACAGGCCAGTCCTGGGTGTCCATGCAGCCTCAAAGTCCTGGGGAGGCCCCTCGATCTAAGAAGAGGAGCCTCCCCCAACACCAGCCCTGTTTTGTGTGGCCAATTCAGGGTGTTCCAGGGATTTGGCTTGGCCAGTTCCGCTGTGTTCCAGCATATACCAGTGCCCATCCATCCTTCTAGGCATAACCCTCCTGGGGTGACTGATATCACAGAAGGGAAACAGGCCTGGGAGGAGATGGAGTACCTGATCAACTGGCACCTGGCCCCCTGGACAGGCAGTGAGGCTCATTCCACAGCCCAGTGGGGGATGGCCATGATCTCTGGCCACAGCTTATTCTGTGCAGGCTTCACCCTGGAGCATCGCCCCACACCATGCTTGCCAGTGTGTCTTCTTCCATCTTTGGACCTGTCACCTTGCTGCAGCACATTAAAATGGAGTACCGAGGCTCTCTGTTCAACACCTGAGACAAAGGGACACTCAAGAGACTCCATCCCCTCTGGATGTGTCTCCAGTATGCACCTCAAGTGTCCTGGGCCCTGGCCAGGACAACACTCAGTTGCAGGCCCCTCCATTCAGTGGAGAGTCATTGTCTGCAGAAGGCCATGCATGGGAGCAGGGTCCCCAGATCTGACCCCCACACATCTGCATCCATCCCATCTCTAAATCTGCACTCAGGCTTAGTGTCGCACCTGCTGAGTGGGCCAGGAAGCTTTCCCATTGGGGCATTATGTGGGCTTTCTAGCTGGAGGAGCCTCGGGGTTCACATAACCCTCCCTCATTTTGAAGGTGAGTGCTCTGCAAGGTGTGGACTCACCCATCACCCCCAGGCAAGCAGGGGCAGCCAGCAGGGGCTGGGGCATGGGATGAGGGCAGGGCAGTGAGCAGGGACGGGGGACAGGGTGAGGGTATAAGGGCACTGAGCAGGAACAGGAGATGTAGTGAGGGCACAGCAGTAGAGTGACTCTCCAGCCACCTCAGGAGGCTGCAGCCCTGGCCACAGGGTGGCTGTCTTCCACCTCCTGTATTGGTGACAGGCCAGGAAACTGCCACATCCCAGGGTTGCATCAGAACCACTGGCTTGTGGGTGGGGTAGGTTGAATATAGGGCAGAGCAGGGGCCAGGGTGCAGAATGGGGCATGAAGAGTAACATCCAGACCAGATGGCAGATGGCCCAAGCAGCCTGGGCTACCCTCTGTGGGAAGACATGCTCCATACTGTGAGGCCTAGGATATGAGGGAGCAGAGCTGCGAAGTGGCCACAGCTGACCTTCGCAGGCACAGAAACACCTGCCTGGCACAAGAAGCGGAGTGAGAACAGCCTCAGGACCTGGGCTCCTCTGCACACCACAGCCTGGGACCCCTGTGCTTGCCTGGACCCCAAGCCTCCAGGCTACAGCTCCAGTTTGTGCACTGGGCCAGGACAGGACCCAGAAGGCCCACACCTGACCTCAACTTTCTGTGCCTCGCAAGAGCCCAGGGAACCCCTCCCCAGCTCAAGCGCCTCCCAGGACTCCTGCCACTCAATGGGAGTGACCCCACTCACCATCCTGCAACTCCACCTCCTGCAGCCATGAAAGGTACTCTCCAAGGTGCTGACCCCCTCAGGCCACCCTAGGCTGGGCACCTCTCCTGCCCTCTACCCTCTCCTCCCATGGAAAGACAGCAGCAGGCCACAGGCCACCTCTGAGATTCCAAAGGCTCTGGGAAAATGAGAATTTCCAGAGGAGGTGGTAACCCTACTGTCCCACTCAGCTTCTCTGAAGGGACCTGTCCCTTCAAGGCTCCCCTTGGTCAGCCCTGGAGTATTTTCTCTCAAAAGGAGACTCCTTTTGGAAGAGGCTCCCTAATGACTTTGTTTAGGACCTGGTTTGGATAAGGCCACCTTAAGTAAAAGACCTTGTGCCCTTTGGGGGCTGTGGACTTCAGTCTTGTCTGGCAAGCTCTTTCTGGTCTGAGGACCATGTCCTGGTGAGCACTCCTGTCCACAGAACTCACTGTGAAAATCCAGGAGTTCCGTGAGAATTTCCCAGCTCTTCTTGTGGACTCTCTCTTGGATCTACATGCCTAATTTAAAATTTCTTATGAGCATCTTTTTGTTTGTTTCATTTTAGTTTGGTTATGCACATCTATAAGTGATTTGGGTTTTTTAACCAGGTGTGGTGGCACATACTTGTAGTCCCTGCTACTGCAGAGGCTGAGGCACAAGTGTAAGAGCTGAAACTGCTTGGCTGAGAAGCACTGACTCCTTACTTGGACCCATGAGTTAACTAAAAATAGGAGAAAAGCTTGACATCCCTGCCTCCATTTTGTACCTCTGTCCTTTGCTCTGAGCCATTCTCTCCTACAGCCACCTTAGAATCTAGAAAGGACAGATCAATAATATCTTTATGACAAGGGACCAAATCTACCCTGGAGCAACAGTGAAGCCTTGCAGGACAGACCTCCTCCAAATGAGAACAGTTACCTATGAGGAGGCTGCAATCATCTCGTGGGAAACACATTGCTCCTCTCAAGTGAGGACAGTAGTAACAGCCTCTAACCCCAGAGAACCAGAACTGAAATAACGTCCAGCCAGGCTGCGCCTAGGACTGGGGCTGTTTAGCATACCTTTTGTCCTCGGCCCTAATCATTTGTCTATTTAAACCTGTGCCATGTCTGTACCATGAAGATGGCCGACAATGGGCTGAAGGGCTTCCTTAGGCTCTTCTCACGGCTGCCTGTCTGGACCATGTGATAAATCTCTCTCTTCCTTCACTGTGTTTCTTTTCTTTCTTTCTTTCTTTCTTCCCTCCTTTACTTCATTCTTTTTTGTAGGAGTGGAGTTTGAACTCAGAACTTCGTGCTTGCAAAACAGACACTCTTCCCCTTGAGCCACACTTCCAGTCCATTTTGCTGTGGTTGTTTTGGAGATGGGGTCTCAAGAACTATTTGCCTGAGCTGACTTTGAACCTAGATTCTCCTGATCTCAGACTCCCAAGTAACTTGCATTACAGATGTGAGCCACCAGCACCCAGCACCACCACGTTTCCTTATTTGGCATAGGGAGCC